GGGGTCATGAGCAAGGGGAGGGGGCGGGGGGAGGAGAGGAGGGCAGGGGGGCGGGGGGGCGCACGCTCACGCGTACACACAACCTCCCAACTCATCTTCCACATGGCAGGGACCTAGAGAGCCCTCTGAGGAGACCAGGGGAGCTCAGGAGGCCCCTGCTGCACACACACACCCTCCCCGCACTGATTTCCTATCCCAGGATGCAGATTGGGACAAAAAGTCTCAGAGATGTACAGTGACTTGTCCAGGGCCACACAGCCCTGATGCGGTGAAGACAAGACTCACCCCAGGACCTGCTTTCATGTTCCCAAGGTAACTCCATGCTCAGCCCTCTAAACAGACTCAAAGACCCCCTTACCCTGTGACCTGCTGCAGGCTGGCACTGACAGCTCACTGGCAGTGGAAACTGTGTTGCCGGCTCTGCCCTCAGCAACTGTATGGCCTAGGCAGGTCCCTGAACCTGGGACCAGGGAGCCAGCACACCCGCTGAGCGGACAAAAGCATGTCACGTTAGGTGATGTGGACCAGGAGGCGGACACAGAAGTGACACTGGAGAGGAAGTGGAGGCTGAGGGCCGGCACCACCGTGGAATGGGGCTGGAAGGGGTCACCCACCTCTTCTCCTGCACCTCCTGGATGTTCTCAATGCCAATGGCGCTACTGCGGCGGGAGCCGAATGGGCCTGACTTCTTTCTTGTGGGGCTCTTCCCGGGGACAATCAGTGACTGCAGGGAGAGGCCCCAGCTCAGTGCCACCAGCCTGGAGCAGCAGTGCCTCCCACCGCCCCAGGGCCCTGCTGCCCACCCCCCTCACCGCCCCCCCGGCCCCCCCGCAGTGAGGCAAAAGTCATAAGCAAGGAGGACCCAGAGAAAATGTGCATTCCAAGGCAGGTGCCTGGCCAACAGAGGGGGATAAAGGCCCAGAGAGGGTCAGGGCCCCTCCTGAGATCACGCGGCAGGAAGCACTGGATCTTCATCCAGGAGGGCTGGGGCATAGCTAATGGGACCAGGAGGGAGGCGCCAAGTTCTCAGAACAGCCACCCCTCCCACTAGGCTTCTTGGGCTCTGTAGCTGAGGGTGGGTGAGGAGCAGGGTAGCAGCCCGAGCCCAGCCTGCCAGCCTGCACCCTCAGAGCCCTCACAGGGGCTTGGGAGGCCCTGTGTTTGCACACAAACCACAAACTGGCCCAGGCACCAGAGCCATTCTGCCAGCTCCTGGGGGGAGGCAGAAGGTAGGCCCTGGGGAGGTATGAAGGGTGGGAGCCCTGACCAGGTCATGGTGGGGAGGGGAGTCAAGGCAGAGGAGGGATGGCGTTCCATGCAGAACTGGCAATATTGGGGGACGTGCAGGCAGGCAGAGGGTCTTTGGGTACCAGATCCTGGCAGGGACTGGGCCAGGGTCCCAGGGGCCAAGTCAGGGCCAGTAGCCCTTGCCAAGGGCCACTGGCTCTGGCCCAGGTACCAAGCCCCAAAGCAGGTGCTGAGTGAGTGCCACCAAGCTGGTGGCACACCACCCTGCACACCCTTGGGCCTGTCCCAGGGGAAGGGGCCACGTCCCCAATATGGCCTCCATCCTGAGTGAGCAGAGAGCAGCGCGCGTGCAGGCAGCCTCCAGAGCCGGCACCCCGCGGACGACAACCTCTTCCACGCTTCCTATGCCTATGGCACTGCCCCGGCGTCCGAATCTACTCGCACTTTTCCCGGGAATAAGCAATGACTGGCAAGCAGCACAGGGCAGGGGCAAAGAGAGAGAGACAGAGAGAGTCAGAGAGAGAGAGAGACAGAGAGTCAGAGAGAGAGAGACACGGGGGAGGGAGGGAGGGAGAAGGAAAGGGAGAGGGAGAGGGAGAAGACACAGGGAAAGAGGAAAGACAGAAACAAGGAAATGGAGAGCCAGGTGGGAAGGGAGACATGAGGACAGGAGACGGGAGTGATAGGCAGTTACATGGACAGGGACACAGGAGATATGACATGGGGCACAGAGAAAAACCAAGGAGGACACAGATGGGCCGAGGAGTGAGGGTCAGAGACAGGAGGGAAGAAGGGGAGGGAAGAAGGGTAAACAAATGTGAGAAGAGTGGAACACAGGCAGGAGGGCAAGCAGACAAGTGCAGGAGGGGGAGGAAGAAAAGCAAAGGCAAGAAGGCAGGGACGGATCAAAGAGGGAGAGTGAGGCAAAGGAGAGAAAAAGAGAGAACAGGAAAAGAGAGCAACATGAAGAGAGGGAGAGTTGTGCAAAAACAAAAACAGAAATGGCTCTGGTTACTGCCACGGTGGGTGCTGCTGGCCTGGCCCTGACCCTGGGGCCCCTCCATAGCCACCCACAGGAGGCTGGGACACTCCGTGGGAAGGAAGGGAGGGGCTGAGAATCTGGGTTGGGGGAAGGTTGAACCAGCTTCTCATGTAACAATGGGATTGGGGACCACTGGGCCTCACCTTGCTCCCCTGGCCAGACCAGACCACACTACAGGTGTGCGGGAGGGGGTTGCCTCCTGCCACATGACACAGCCTCACAGCACTGAGCACAGGGCATTGCATGCAGTAGACAACAAGAGAAGGGTGAGTGAGTGAGTGAGTGAGTGGATGGATGATGGATGGATATATGAACAAATGGGTGCAGGCTGAAGGGTGGATGGATAAGTGGAAGAAAGGATGGTTGTGTGAATAGGCATATGGATGGATAAATTGAGGGATGGGTGCATGGGTAGAAGAATGGGTGAAAGAATGGAGTGAGTGAGTGGGTGGATAGATGAAAGCTGGAGGACCAGGGACAATGAATGGCTGGGTGGAAGAGCGGATGGGCGGAAGAGCAGATGGGTGGATAGGTTGATGGATGGACAGATGAATGAACAAAAGGATGGATAAGTGGGAGAATGGGTGGGTAGGGTGAATGGATGGATGGATAAGTGGAAGAGTGGAAGGTTTGATGAATGGTGAAAGAATGTGTGGATAAGTGGGTAGATGGGTGGGTGGAAGGAGGGGGAGAGGGAGGAATGAATGGGGAGCAGAGCAGTAGGTGCAGTGTCTGGGGCAGGCACTAGGTGGTGCAAACCAGCTAGCCCAGGATACAGGCCTGTTTCTCCTGTCAGCCCAGCACTCTGAGTGTTCCTGGCAGACTCCACAGGGCCTGGCAGACAGTCAGTGATCACACAAGGAGGGGCTCAGTCAGGAGAAGCCCACATAGAAGCCAGGATCCTGACACATGATACACAGCCACAACCATAGACGGCCTGACTGCTGAGGACACATAGTAGGAGGTGCCATGGAGAAAATGCCCACATCGCAGCGTGCTCCCTTACACACAGGAGGTGTTCACTGATATCCAGGGCTTAGCACACATCTTGTGCTCACACAGAAGCCCAGGTCCAAACACACAGTAGGTGCTCACACAACAGCCCAGGGCTGGCCATACAGTAGGTGCTCACAGAGTAGATGCCCACACAGCAATCCATTTCCTGACACACAGTAGGTGCTCACACAGCAGCTCAGGGCTGGGCACCCAGGTGCTCCGAGTGCATGTCCACACAGCAGCTCATGTCCCAACACACAGTAGGTACTTCCAGAGACCTCAGGTTGGACAGAAGATGCCCACACAGCAGCCCAGTTCCCAGCACACAACAGACAGTAAATAAGGAATAGACGCAGAGGCCACAGGAAGTCACACCAAATGAGTAAAGGGCCAGGAGGAGGACAGGGCCAAGAGGCTGCAGGGTCTCAGCACCCCAGGATCCTAGCTGGGACACTCGATCCACAATGGGGAGCAGCGGCGAGGCCAAGTCCAGAGCCAGGGACGGGCTCATGGACAGCGGGCCAATACAGGGGGGTGGGGCCGAGCTCAGGGGCTGGGAGCACTGAGGGCCCAAGGCAAGGGAGGGGGGGCACTCACTATTCCAGCTGCCTTGGCCAGGTCAGGGTTGTTGGGCGTGAAGCTCCCGCTGTGGCTGGTGGACACTGTGCTGGGCTTCTTGTTGCTCAGGCCCATGGCGTCCATAGACTGGCTGCGGCTCCGGATGACTCTCTGTGCAAGTGAACAGAGGGTGGGGGCCACACAGCTGCCGAGGGCACCCAGACCTCAGGCCCCCTCCCCACCAATACTACTCACAGAGGTGACCCTGGGGAGTCCCAAGCCCTGGGGAGGACTCAGTTTCCCTACGTGCCACACAAGAGGCAGATGGATTCATACAGGGCGTTGGGACTAGCCACACAGGATCTGTGGGCAGAGTCTCCTCTGCTGTGATGGTGAGACTGACAGAAGATACTGAGTGACGACCGAGAGAGTAAGGAAGCCCCCCACAAACCTGTTTCTTTCCTTCTGGAATCTTCCAAGACCCCCTTTCCTTTGCTTCCTCTTCTGCTTCCTCTTGCTCCCTTGTCTTTGCTCCCCCTCCCTTGCCCTTTCCAGACCATTCTACACTGAATGCTATACACCCAGTACTGCCACTCAGTCCTCCTATACCTACCTTACACATGAGAAACTGAGGCAGGGGTGGGCCTGGAACTCGTATGAAAAACTGTATGCCCTTAGCAGTGAACGCTGTTGCCTCTGAGAAGTGCTTCAACCTCATCTGGGTGCCCTGTCTGGCATGTACCACAGTGGAGACACCGCAGTCCTCACACACAACACCACAGGTGCAGATGCTCGCCCACTGCTCCGCTTCTCCGGCGGGCAGAGGCAGGGCTGCCCAGGCTTCCTTCTCAGTGTCCCTTCCAGGCAGTTGGGCTAGTCCCCTTATGCAAACCCATAGCTGCTGCTCTGGGGTTCTCCTGGGCAAAGCCAACCCCCACTGGGCACCTGAGGAGGGGCAGTTCTCGTCATGGGCCCACTGCCAGGGGTCCTGCAGCTGAGCTCAGGTCTGCCAGAGGAGGAGAAGGTACTGACTCTCTTCCTCTGCCTTTTGCTCTTTAACTCACCAGGGCACTCACCCAGTTGCTTTGTAACAACTCAGCAACAACTGTATGGTCAGTGGTCATGACCCCAATACCATGCTCTCCACATGGAGAAACTGAGACTCAGAGGACGTCCACACTGGGAAGTGGCAGAGCTGGGATGTGAACCCCGGGAGGCTTGCTCTTAACTCCCCACAGCCCAGGGAGACCATCGGCCAGCTCCTTCTATGATAGTCCCTCAGTCCACCTACTTTCTAGAACCTCTTGTTGTCCCTCAGTCCGGAGGCCTCTTACTTTCTGCTGTGCCTGCCAATTTCCCAGCCATGGCCCGTGGCACCAGCAGCAGCTACCCAGGGGTGCCCAGGTGAACTGGTCCCCAGGCCTGGGTCTCTCACCCCCAGACTTTAAGCCAGAGCCCCACAGTACACATTTCTTCCAGTCTTAAACAGCCAAAAGGACAGTCCACAACCCCAATTCCAGGTATATCATAAAACTGAAGTCTACTTAGTCACACCCCGAACAATCATCCCATCTCTAACTGAACCTCTAGAGTTCAAGATGGGCTCAGGGACAGCAGCCTTCACCTCCACTGCTGACCCCAAGGCCCCACCCTGCTCCTTGTCCATCACCCCCAGCTCAGGCTCCCTTGAGCCTAGGCAGACCCCAGCCCTTCACCTTGAAAGACTCAAAAAAGCCTCCTCCACCGCCGCCGTTCTCCATCTTGTCCTCATCACCGCCCAGGCCCATCATGGACTGGCTGTGGATGTGGAGCTCCTCATAGAGTGTCTCTAGGAGGGCCACGCGCGTCCGTTCCTGTGGGCCAGACAGGGCAGGAGGGACTGAGGGGGTGAGCTACACTCCCCACCCTGAAGCTGTCTGCCTGCCTTCATCCACAAACCCAGTGTATGCTGATATTCCTCTCCTCCAGCCTTCTCCTTTCCTCTCTCCACAAATAGTTTGAGACAGCGAGAGAGAGAGAGAGAGAGAGAGAGAGAGAGAGAGAGAGAGAGAGAGAGAGAAAGCACACTAGCACAAGCACTAGAGGGAACCCACCCCATCCTCACCTCCAGTTTGGCAAACTTCTCAGCTTTGTAGCAAGCATACTCTGCGTTGATCAGCTTTGTCAGCAAAAATTCCTGGAACTCAGGCCCCTGGGAGCCCCCAGTGTGGAGATGAGAAGCATCAAGTGAGCACAGATGCTGGAAGAGAAGCTCTCTCCCCACCCCTCCCCCTTCCTCCCCACCCCCCACTTAGCTGAGCCTCTTCATTCCCAAAGGGTATCACCGTGGGCTCAGCTCCCCAGCTTTGGTCCTGGACCCTGCTAGAGCCCCTGGGCCCTTCACGGCTGCCCACTCCCTCTGGAGAGCAAGGCCTGCAGGTGCTAGAGACTAGGCTGCCATCGCCTACTGCTGAGTGCAGGGCAGTGGCTCATGCCGTGAGCTGGGCTGAAGCCAAAGAGAGGTGACAGACACATGCCCCTCCCCAAACATTTTAGAAGAAAACTGGCCAATGGGCAGAAAGAGAGAAGAAAGTCTAGTTGGCTATGAAAAATGTAAAGCAGTCACGTAGCTCATTCCACGACTTTCTTTAAAAGTCACCCTCTTATTTGAAAAGAAGAGCCAGCCCAGCCAGCTGTGATGGAAGCCTAGGTGCCCTGCTCAGGGTGGGCTGCAGGATCTCAGGACAGAAATGTGGACTCCTTAGCCCCTTCCCATTTAGCCCTGCTTGGCCCTTGCGGGGGAGGGGGGGGGGAGGGGGGAGGGGGAGGAGGGTGGTTCTCACCTTCCTGAACACAGCAGGGTCTGGGAGCGGTGGCCCAAAAAAGGGCACATCATCTCTTGCAGTGACTGAGACCTGGAAGGGAGGACGGCTGTCCCCATGGGGTCTGGAGAGTCCCCTATCCCCACCAGTCCCACCCCAAGTGGGGGGATCTCCATGACTCCTGGGGTGGGGGTGGGGGGGCAGCGATGGAACCAATGCTCTTTACCAGTTTCACCTCCCACAGCTTTTGTCCTGAATTTGAGAAGGGGTTTGTGGGGAAGGGGCTCACAGAGATAGAGAAGGCAGAGGAGGCTAAAGGAGGCAAAGGAAAGTGGTATCCAGCCAGGAGGTAGAGGGGGCAGCTGGCCACTTTGAGGGGGTGAATTCTGGGGAGCAAGAAGGCATGATGGGACTCTACCCGCTCACAGCCCTGGAGTCCCTGCTCACAAAGGAAGTGGGAACTGAGGTCTCCAAGAGGCAGAGCCTCCTTGGTGGGGTGCAGAATCTGGCCAGGAAATCACCCACCTTATAGAGGGGGCCATCTGGGCCACCCCCCTCTGCCTGCACCACCACGTAGGCGTGTAGGAAGTTGGATGCAATCATGTCGGGCACGAAGGGCGTGTTCTCATCCTGGAAGACGACTGCCACGATATCATTCCCGATGTGCCGCTTCCGCTGCAACTGAGCACAGGGACACAGCCCTCTCAGCCTGCCCACACTGTGTGGGGTTGCCCAGAGGGTGTGGGAGGGCTTGGGACAGGTAGAAAGCACATCTAAGGGTTTGCTATATCCTCCACCACCACCCCAAAAAAGTGAAAATTTGTGTTGAAATTATTTCAGTTTTCTTAGAAACTATGACAGATGAGGAAAAAACAAACAAACAAGCAAACAAAAAACAAAAAAAATGAGGCCAAGAGCAAAATGATTTGCAAGATCCTACTTGTAAAAAGCTCAAGAGCCTGGAGCGAGGTCTCCTGGTTTACAGGCTTTATGGCTCAGCCCTCTAAGTAAATACTGCAAACATGATCAGTGGAAGATCTCACAGGAAGAAAAGCCACTACAAATAAGAAAGACATATTTGCATTTTTCTTCCCTTAACCCTCTAAGCACTCTGGGCTGGGGAGTGGAGAAGTCAGGAAGCTCAGGACAAGGTGAGCAGATGTGGAACTCAGTTCCTTGAACACGTCCTTCTCCCCTTCTTTCTGCCTGGATCATCCCATCTCCCTCTCCTAGTTCCTAAAATCACTTTGTCTCAAAACCTCTTCCTGCCTCCCACCTCTGCCAAGTCTGTCTCTCTGTGACCCTTGCTCTCCACAAAGATGCTGCCTCTCCTTCACTGGACTCTTGCCAAGTAACGGGTCCTCGTCACATCTTTTTCGTATGCACCCTCTTTTCTACTCACCTATCAGGCAGGTACCATTATCACCCCATTTCAGTGATGTGGAGGCTGAAACTTTCCAGAACTGTGGCAGCCCATCTCCCCCGCCCTGACTAGAGCCCACAACTGGAACTCGCATATTTCCATGTCCTTATCTCAGCCAAGCACGGGGCTAGAGAGATGGGCATGGAGCAGACAGGTGGAGGGGGGTCAGGTAGGCAGTAGGAATCAGGTGGGTGCCCAGGCTACCTGCTGGGCATCCCCTTCCGTGTAGGGCAGCTTGGTGGACACGTGAAACATGATCTCCTTGTTGCGGAAGTTGCAGTACACAGACTCGGTCCCTGTCTGCCCGTGGGTCACATCCAGGCCTCCTCGGAACCTGCCCCGGGGACCCCCCAGCCATGGCTCAGTCTCTAGCCCCAGCCAGGCCTCCATGGGGCCAGGCCAGGCGCTCCCTCCCTGCCCAGGGACATGGGGCAGCTCTGCCCAGTACACTCCTGTAACTCACCCCTTGAAGTCCTGCAACTTGACCTTCTGGCCCAGAAATTCCAGGAACTCTACAAAAGCTGGGCTTTCCTCGTTGGTGCTGAAGAGTTCTTCCTCAGAGGTCTGGGGACCACACAGCAGCCAAGGTCATGGACCTGGGGCTCCTGAGAAGCCTTCCCCTCCCCACCCTCTCCCAGCCCCAGTAAATCCCAGAGGGGCCCTGGGCAGGCCCTCGCCCCTGGGCAGTTGGTCCTGGCAGGGAGGGAGCAGGGCAGGGGTGAGGCGCACCTGCCCAAGCTTCTGGTAAATGACTCCAAACTTGAAGTTATTGCTGATGACATGCTCATCAAAGGTGACGATGAGCCGGGAGGCCTGTGGAGAGCATAGAACAGGCCCTGCTCACAGCCATTCTCCTCAGCATCCCCATGAGTCCAGCACTGTGCCTGCCCCTCCCCCCACCCCAGCCTCCAGGAGCAGGGTCCAGATGACACCATACCTTAGGGTAGAGCACAGGGTAGAATCGATCCACATTGACATCTTCACACACAAGCTGCAGGAAGAGACAGGAGAGGGGTGTGAGGTGGAACCAGACAGGAAAAGGACTTCCAGCCCCAGTGGCCAGGGCTGGGAAGAGGCAGGAGCCATGCTGGAAACACTAAGGGCTGAAGCAGGCCTGGGGGCTCACTGCTGCTTAGAATGGGGCTCAGAGAGCTGGGTTCCTGGGATCCCAGGATGCCATAAAATGTGCCAAAACATGCGGGAGTGGTGTCAGGATAACAGCGGCATCGTGGACGCACCACAGAGGCAGGGGACAAGTAAGAGGAAGGACCACAAAGGTGCAGCGGGCCCCAGTCTCCCCGGGGTCCGTGATGGGAACCGAGGCCTCACCTTTGCCATCTGGACCACATTGGGAAACTCAGTGAGGCAGGAGATGGGGATGACATCATGGTATGTCCGGCACTTGGTCCTAAGAGGAGAAAGCCCTACAGTGAGAGGCTGGCACGGACGCCAGGCCTGGCTGGGCTGTTCACTTGCTGTGTGATGGCAGGCAAGCCCCTGCTCCTCTCTAAGCCTCCATGAGGACAGTGGGTAAATGAGACAGGGGCCCGAGTTACAGCCTTCAGCCCTCTGGGCCATCAAAGAGTCTCCCCTCTCACTGCTCTTACCTGAGCAGCAGCCGCAGGTGCTCTTGATCCCCAATGACATCATACTTGAGTGAGAAAACCAGATGGCCCAGGGCAGTGTCCAGTGAGTAGTAATTGAAATGCTCCTTTGGTGGGAGAGGGTGGGGAGATGAAGTCAGCCCGGGAGCTTCTGGAGACCAGAGAGCCCACTCTCCACAGGAGCTCTTTCACCAAGTGGCAGTGTCTTGGCCACTAGCAAGCTCACATCAGAGTTGCCACATGCCTGCTGGGCAGCCTGAGAAAGTTCCCTTACCTTTCTGTATCTCCCTGTCCTAATCTATAAAATGGGAGCAAGGGCCAGGTGGCTGGGGACTCACACCTGCAAGCTTAACTACTCAGGAGGCTGAGATCTGAGGATCAAGGTTTGAAGTCCTGCCAGGTTGGAGAGTCTATGAGACTCTTAGATCCAATTAACAATCAACAAGCTAGAGGTGGAGCTGTGGCTCAAATGGTAGAGTGCTAGCCTTGAGTCCAAAACTAAAGGACAACTTCCAGGCCCTGAGTTCAATCCCTGGTACCACCAAAAACACATACATACATACATACATACATGCATGCATACACACTGGAAGCAAGGCCACCTACCTTGACAGTGGCAGAGACTGAAGGAAATAAAGGGCCTGGCACACACTCAATACTGGGATAGGGGAAGTGGAAAGGGAAGGGGAGAGCAGAGGAGGGGAGAGACTTGCCAGAGTGTAAGGAAGGCCCTAAGGTCCCCAGCACTAAAAGGAAAAAAAAAAGCCAACAGCTGGTTGTTCAATTGTGGCTTGATGGCCCCTGAAACCAAGGCCAGTGAGAAGCAGGAAATGAAGCATCTCATACCAACACAGGGTGGCTGGCAGGGCGGGTCTCCACCCTCCTGCCTCACCTGGAGCAGCGGGTGCAGGGCTGGGCAGAAGGACAGTCGTTGCAGGAATGGCATTCCAGATGACCACCCAGGGCTGGCACCTCTATGTGGGGAAGTCCCCAAACCAGGGCCTAGGGTGCGGGTGACGTCACCCCACCCTGGCCTAGGCTCCCCCTGAGGGCCCAGCCCTGGGAATGGAACTGGCTCCCCAGCCACGCTCCACCCTAGAACATAAATCCTATTCGAGCAGGAACACTTGTGCTCCAAGGCCAGGCAGAGAAAGTGGCAGGGCCAGGGAGTGGGCAGGGAGGGCTGTATTTGGCAGGTCAAGCACACTCATTGGACTAGGGCAGAGCCCCCAGCCAAAGCTGGACACAGAGTGGCAGAAAACCTCAAATGCTTGGCAAGGATGGTAGGTACTTGGCAGAGAAATCCTTTCCACTCCCAAATGCAGAGGAGACCAAGGGACATGGTGGGAGATCGACTGAGGGTTCCAGGAAGCTAACATGTGAAGTTCCCCCTTGTCTCCGCCCTCTGCCAGCACAAGGCCCAGTGCCTAAGCACCTGGCTGCCTCCCAGGTGCCCAGCATGGAAGCCAGAAGTGGCCCTGCTAACCTGATCTTGTTACTCACCTCCACCAACTCCCGCCTAGCCTACAGCTCTTCAAATCCTGCTGTGCTCAGGCTCCCCTCCTTTATCTGTCACTGCCATTCCTCAGCAAACTGTCCAGAGTGCCAACAATGAGCTGGGCCAATACGGTCCCCAGAATCCCACACCTGCCAGAGAGCCCTGGACAGCAGACACCTGAGATGCAGATGTCCTCCTCCCCAGGGGGCAGGGGAGAAGGTGGAATCTGCACTGCACTCTGGCTCCATCCCCCACCCACCCAAACAGCACCAGAATTTTCTAGTTAAGTCAGTGCCCTGGGCTCAGACTATGGTGAGGGCTCACCTCTCCTCCCAACACACACACACACACACACACACAGAGAGAGAGAGAGAGAGAGAGAGAGAGAGAGAAAGAGAGAGAGAGAGAGAGAGAGAGAGAGAGCTGAGAACCCTGTTATTCAGAACTGGTTCAATTCCAGGCTAGGCAACTCTGTGACCTTCCCCAAGTAACTTCACTCTGAGCTTCAGTTCCCTCTTCTGTAAAAACAGGACAATCTTAGCAGGTGCTGTGTCTCCTATTTGTAATCTTAGGGACTCAGAAGGCTGAGATTGGAAGGACTGAGGTTTGAGGCCAGCCTGGGGAAAATGTTTCTTAGATTCCATCTCAGCTAATAAAAAGCTAGACATAATGGTTCATGCCTATCATCAAAGCTACTTGGGAAGCATAAATAGCAGAATCACTATCCATCCTGGCTCGAGGAAAAAGCAAGACTATTCCAGTAAGGGTCAGGGGGCGATATTGTCCAAAAAGAAATGTACTCTTTTTTTTTCTCTTTCTTTTTCTTTCTTTTTTTTTTGTCAGTTGTGGGGCTTGAACTCTGGGCCTGGGTGCTGTCCCTCAGCTCTTCAGCTCAAGGTGAGTGTGCTACCACTTGAGTCACAGTGCCACTTCCAGTTTTCTAGTGGTTTATTGGAGATAAATCTCACGGACTTTCCTGCCCTGGCTGGCTTTGAACTGTGATCCTCAGATCTCAGCCTCCTGAGTAGCTAGGATTACAAGCGTGAGCCACCAATGCCCGGCATTATTATTTTTTAATGTAATTTTTTGTTATTATAAAGGTAATATACAAAGGGCTTACAGTTACATAAGTCAGGTAAAGAGTACATTTCTTGCTGGGTGCTGGTGGCTCACACCTATAATCCTAGCTACTCAGGAAACTGAGATCTGAGGATTGTGGTTCAAAGCCAGCCTCAGCAAGAAAGTACCCAAGACTCTTATCTCCAATTAACCACCAGAAAACTGGAAGTGACGCTGTGGCTCAAGTTATAGAGCGCTAGCCTTGAGCTGAAGAGCTCAGGGACAGCACCCAGGCCCAGAGTTCAAGACCTAGGACCAACCCCTCCCCCCAGAAAAAATAAAGGGGCTAGAGGCTTGGCTCAATTAGTAGAGCACTTGCCCAGCAAGCATGAGACCCTGAGCTCAAACCCCGGAATAACAAATACACACACACACACACACACACACACACACACACACACACACTACTAGGATAATCTTGATCTCACAGAGGGATTACACACATATAACAGAACAATAGCTACCATTACTTGTGTGCTTACTATGTGTGAGACATGGTTCTGTATGTTTTTGCATCTAAATTTTACTCTCAGATGAGGAGGCAAGCTCACAAGGTAAAATAACTTACCTAAGAAAACCTAAGATTTGCACCCGGGCCTTGAGGCTTGGAGCCCATTGTGCATTTCCTCTTTTTGGTGGGAGACAGACACAGAGATAGCACCCACAGGGCACCTAACACAGACAGCCCCACACAGCTCCTCCCCTCGGGCATCCTCAGCCTCACCCAATAACTCTTGAACACCCTTGGGCAACACCCTGCCAAGCAGTTACTGGCAGGGCCTCTGCCCTGAGGCTAGGGTGGCATCAGTCTAAGTCAAGCCAAGCCACTACCTGCTACAGTGACTTCCCACCCCCTCCCAAGCAAGGTGTTTGTCTCTGTTTGTTGTTGTATACCTCGTGCCCAGAACAGGGCCAGGTACACAGCTGCTGCTTATTATGTGCTCACTCCCACAAGCACTTTGTTCTAGATGTCTTTTAAATGGTCTAACAGGAATTGTCTCATTAAAGCCTCAGGTACCTTCATGATGGTGTCATCACCATCATCTTTACAGTTGGGGAAACTGAGGCACCATGCCTGGTGCCCCAAGGAGCAGGTGACCAAAGACACGACTCACATCCTAATATCTGCTGTTAACCACTATCGTCCTACTGCTTTCCACAATACTGAGTGAATGACTCCACATGCATGCTCCCCGAAACCCAGACCCCAGCCGAAGGGTTTTTCTCCCTGCCTGGGCCTAGTGTCCCATGAGGTTGGACTATGTTCCACCCCAGCTGGCTCCCAACACCTGCTGGCTACACACCTTGCCGAGAAAGTGCTTCCGGTAGATGCGGGCTGTGGGATTGCACTCCAGCTTCACCTTGGTGGTGGGTGACTGCAGAGGCTCTGTCTCAGGGATGCTGGTGATCTCATGGTTGGTGCCCTCAATCCAGTAGCCCCCGAATTGGGGCAGCAGGATGAGGGGGAAGGGCCCTTCGCGCCCCAGAACCTGAAAGGAGACTCAACTGAGAGCTGCCCCATAGTGTGCCTACTTTGAGTCCCAGGGGCAGCCTCCTAACTGTGACCTGGAGCCATTTCTGCTATGTCTAAGAGGTACCCAGAGCTGGGTGGGCCCAAATCTCACATCCATTCTCTCTGGGGAACCTGCTTCTTCTGAGATCGCAGCAGCGCCAAGCCCCGTGTGCCAGTAACAAATGAATGGGCAGGTGGGTGAGCCTGGAGCTGTGGCCTTGGCAGGAGGCTTAACTATTTGGCCCAGAAGGCCCAGGAGTTCCAGTCTCTAGTTTGAAGACCTAGGCTTGGTCTCCAGCCTATAAACAGAGCCCTATGGCAGGCCTATGTCAGACTCTAGGAGAGAGGAGGTGCTGAGTGTCCAGATGTTCTGCATAAGTGCCTGCTGGGTTCCACAGTAAGAGTGGGCACGGGGGTGCAGCCAGGTACCTCGTGGACGCTTGGGTACGGAATGTAGTCCTCCTCTGTCTGCAAGACACAAGCAGGGAAGGGGTTCAGCTGGGTGGGCACGTTCTGTCCAGCTAGTGCCCCAGATGAACTAGAGGTCATCTGCAGCCTCCACGTCCTCTCACAGATGGGGCAGGGACTGGCCTTGGGGTGACCCCACAAGGCTGGGGTAAAGCAAGGAAACTCACTGAGCCTGCTATCTTCAGCTTTCTGTCTGAGGAAAGGAGGCTCACATCAAGGGAATCTCCAACTGCCTGGAGAGCTGGGCAGCTACAGGCTGTCACGCCACCCCTGGGTTCCTATGCAGCTGTGTCCCTAACCCTCGCCAGGCAGCTTACTGCAGCTGGTCTGAGGATCACACTGAGAACCCTGGTCCTAAACAATACTCAGAGCTTATATCCACAATCCTCGTGTGCCCTGCCACGCCCCAGTTCCAGTGCCTATCTTCCAGGGGTCCGAGGGTCCTGAATCACCAGGAACCACATCCTTTCAGGAGAGCTATTGTATCTTCATGGAAAGGAGCTTGCTGGAGCAGGAGCTCAGACACAGCCAAGGCCAAGGTTCTAAGTGGCAGTGTACATGCAGATGCCTTTTTCTGGATAAGGGCTTTGGCTTTGCAGGGGGTAGCCCAGAGGGACAGGGGAGTGTAGTGCAGGGTAGGAGGAACCGGCCTGCAAGCCCCAGGCCTGTGGCAAAGGAGCTCCTAGGGCCCAGGGCCTGGATGCCCTGCTCACCCAGAGCTGGTACCTGGAATTCTTTCACCCTTGGGATGCTGTAGCCACACTTCACAAACCCCACCCCCAGCAGGGGGCCTGTGGCCCACAGACCCCCACCCCCAGCAAGGGGTATGGGGACTACCTACCTTGAGGGGTGGTGGGAATGAGCATCGCTGTTCATCCATCCTGCTTCCCTGCAAGAGAAGATGCCATCAGTAGACTCCGCCATGGCCCCTGCCAGGGGGACCACCCATCAGGAGGCTCACCTAGCCTGTGTAGAAGTGAATGCTTGGGGAGCACCCATGGGTGTGGGGGTACACCCAGGCAAGGACTGGCCAGCTCATTCCTCAGGCCTCTCTGGAGGGCTAGTGGTAGCCACACAAGCGGGGAGGGGCAGGAACTGTGCAGGGGAGGGGGAAAGAATGCTGCTGGGAGTGGGGGCAGGGGTGCCTGTGCAGGCCTAGTGTGGGGAGGGGTGTGCACATCAGCACAGATACAAAGAGGAGGAGGAGGAGGCCAAGAGGTAGTGCTGAGAGAGGCAGAGAGGGGAGGGGAGGCACAGATAAGCAGAAGGGGAGGAGGCAGAGTCAGGGCTGAGAGAGGCGGGAGGGAGGGAGGGAGGGAGGGAGATGGCGGGCTGTGGAGGGTGAGCTGACATCAGAGAAAGCTCCTGAGGTTTCTTCAAGATGCCCCCCTTCCCCTCCCAATACACAGCCATGCAACATAGTAGGCAGGGCACCGCCCAGATCGCCTGCAGCATAACCTTTGGCCTATAGGCCCTGGCATCTGTTCCCGCCTCCATTCTGCATAGGGGTCCTATAAAGCCTGTGATGCCTCTTGGGGGTGGGTGAGGTAAGGAGCTGATCCAAGCCCTGCTGGGGACCTATGAGAGAGAGGGCTGATAGCTGGGAGTCTGTGTGAGTCCGGGTCAGGGAGGAGGCAGCCTTCCTTAAGTTGATCACAAGCTGCTGGTCTGTACTGAGAGGTGCAGGGCTAGAGATAATGACAGAGCCCCCAGCATCTAGCCTGCCAGTACAGTCTCTTCTACCATTCTTACCTGCATCTTCTCAATCATCTCAAACAGATCTGTGTTCTGCAACAGAGGTAAGAGAGCAAGGTCAGTCCTGGGGAAGCCCAGCTGATCCTGACCCCCACCCCAGCCCACCTAGTCTCCTCAACTCCAACCAGCCAGCAAGGCACAAGGCAGCAAGAGGGAGTATGGGGACCTTATGGAGGGCTGTGTGTGTAGAAACCCAGTGCTCAGAGCCCAGAGCCCCAGGTCCTGAGTCCTGGGCAGATGGCCATTCAGTCAGCTTCCCTCAGGGAGGAAGCTGCTGACCTGGGGTACAGCTAGCCCTCTCCCATGTCCAAAGTTGGTGATGGCAGGATTAGCACAAAAACCTAAGAGCCTCAAGTCCCAGCCTTCAAGATGAGCCCAGCCAGGATCCCAAGGAAAGTTTGTGGTAACTTCTCCTGGATGAGGCCACAGGTGTCAGCCCTCTCCCCCCACAGCAGTGTGAGCCAGGGCTCCTTGGGGACAGGATGCTGGGTTACTTATTGAACCTACACCCGCTTGTGACCCCACATACATCCCCTCATGCCAAGACAGCCTTTCCTAAAGCTGGCCAGGGCACATGCGGAGTTAATCTGCATCTGCCAGCTGCTTGGCAGCATGGCCCCCTCCAGTGCCAACTCCCTAGGAGCTTTCCTGGAAGCCGGCATCCCTGCCTGCTGGGAGCTGGTGGGCTTGGGACCAGGCCTGAGAAGCCCGCAGAACATAGAGGATGGAGTGCTCACCAAGCCCTTCCAAGGTTGGGAGGCAGTCCCTGCTGGCCAGAAGGAGCACCACCAGAGCCCACACATGTGCAATGAGGTAGAGCACCAGGAAACACATGTGTGCATACATACAGTCTCTCACTCCTGCTCACAGACAGGCCTGCACACCAATATTTAAACAGTCTCACTACACCAGGCATATATTTTGTGTACCAAGAAACACACACCACCTGATAGATGCACAAATACAAGCCCCCACCTGTGCAGGCCCACACCCCAGTGACTGCACAAGACCATGCTTCTGAGACCACAAGACAACCTGACACACACACAAAGGGCAGGGGCTCAAGGAAAAAGAGGGAGCCCACAGACCTTAGCAAGCTCCTTCCCCAGGAAGGAGTCACACACGTCGATCACATCAGACAGACACCATCCCACCACTGAGAGAGTTCTGAGAAAAGGAAGAGGCACTGCCACTGTAGGAGTGGTCCATCCTGGGGAGGAACCCAGGCCTGTGCCTCACACCCACCTGAGTACACACACACACAGCTCTGGGAAAGATCATGAGACAGACCATGTACACACACTGCCCTCAGAACAAGATCCAGACTGTGAAGCCCACCTCAGGAGACCCAGGAGACTTTGACCCTTGGTCACCTATGGCCACATCCAGTGCCTGAGTTTGGAAGAGGCCATCCTACAGATACCACAGACACACGCCTGTAACCCAGGAGACAAACACACCTGTCAACCTGACAGGATAACAGCAACACCGCCATCTGTTCCATTCAGGTCAGCCAGGCAGCCTCCGACCTGCTCAAGGTGGCCAAACAGCCCAGGCACAAGAAAACATGACACCTTGCTGCTCCAGGAATCACAGCCACATAAACACTGACACATGGGACAGTCACCCAGAGTGTACACACCACACCAGGCAACACCCACAGTTCCTGCCTGGCCAACAGCAGCGGCGGCGGGACACATGGCGGTGTGGCCTCCTGGAAGGTGGCACCACCAAGTTACACCTTGGCACTCGGAGCCCCTGTCTGGCAAGGGAAGGCAGAATGTGGCCCCAACAGCACACACATCCACGCGGGTGCGCGCGCGCACACACAGGGTCACAGGGTCACCGCATAGGTTCCTTGGGCACTGCAGAAAGCCGGGATATGCCCGGTGGCCTCCCCGAAGCCAGCACACCCCCGGTGGAGGAGCCTCGTACACCGGCCCCGACTCGGGCACAGCCCGCGGGGCCGTGGAGACGTCGGGATGACCCGGCCGTGGGTCTCCCCCAGGGCCAGGCCGCCCCTACCGGGGTCCTCACCTGCCAGCCGGCCCCTGCAGGCAGCGACCCCCTCCGCGGACGGCCGAGGGGTGCCGGGGGCCGCGGCTGCGCCATCCAGAGTCCGGTCCGGCCTCGGCCCCCCGCCCCAACTGCGCTCCAGCGGCTCCGGCCCGCGCGCGCCCCCCAGCCCGGGCCCCCGCAGCCCGAGCACCAGGCTCCGGCTCCCGCGGCGGCGGAGCTGCCTGCGCGCTGGGCTCCCCGGGCGGCCGAGCCGAGGGGCGGGGCGCCAGGTACGGGCGGCGCGGGGCAGGGCTGCGGCGGCCGGGGCGGGGCGGGGACACGGAGGCCCCGCCCCCGGAGCGGCCCGGGCCGCTGCGCCTGCGCACAGGAAGACTCCGGCCTGTCCGCTGCTCCAGGAACCCCCTCCACTACTTTGTTTCCAGACTCCGACCCCTCACTTCAGGGCCTGAAGGACGAGGAGGTTCTTGGGACGGGAAGAGGAGGGTTGGCCTTGGAGACTGGGCTTTTCTTGAGCACTTACTTAATGTTTGGCTCTCCTTATCTGACCATAACTCAGGACATACAAATGTCACCCCCATTGTGCGGATGAGAAAACTGATTCCAAGAGGTGGGATTGCTCGCCCAAGACCGCACAGCTAGGAAAACCAGAAATCCATGGAAGGGCTTTGGGCCACTATGGGGGGGGGGGCGGAGGAGAAGGAATCCTCTTCTCTCATCTTTTTATACCCCAGTGATGGACAATTGCTGGTCAGTGCCCTCCCTTCTTCAAGTCTCTGGCCCAGGGAGGGACTGCCACGTTGGCTGGGTGGGGAGGACTTCCAAGACACCACAGTATGGAGAAGGGGGCCCTAGCAGCTCTCCCCATCTGTACAATGTAAGGCTTCTGCAGCCCTCCTAGCTGGCCTTGCTGGCCTGTGCAGCCCTGTGGAGGCAGCAGGCTATGGCTACCCCAGGGGCAGGGCTGCCCATCAGCTCAGGGCCAGACTTCCCAGAAGTGCTGCCCTTCCCCCCTATACTCCATCCCCAGGGCTTCTAGAAGGAAAGCAGTCCTTTTCTTTCTTCCCCCACATCTGGCCCTGGGTCAGAGAGCCAGTGGTGGGAACTCCAGAGATGCGTGTTCCAGACACGGAATAGCTTTGGTTTTTAATAATTAACGGCAACAAATATTGATTTACACAGCCACTTCCAGGCCCGCACGTTTCCGGGTACCCATTGAGATGCAGCCAGAAGAGCATCCATTCCCACACTGGCCCCGGGGGAGAGCGAGGTCTGCTTGCCTCACCTGTGGTGTATGTATGTGCGGGCACAGAGGAAGGTATGCACATGTGTGCATGCAGCTCTCTGCAGGAATGTGTGTGAAACCAAGTCTGGCTGTGGCTCCCTGTGTGTACACATATGTACTATGCTTCTGGATGTGCGTGTGCATGTGTGTGTGTGTGCGCGCGCACGCCAGGTGCTTGAATTCAGCACCTGGGCTCTGTCCCTGAGCCTCTCTGGGCTCAAGGCTAGTGACCTACCACTTGAGCCATAGCACCACTTCCAGCTTTTTCTGTATATGTGGTATTGAGGATGGAACCTAGGGCTTCATGCATGCTGGGCAAGCCACTAGCCACTAAGACACATTCCCAGACCTGTAAGTGTGTGTTTATCCATGGTATCACATGTGTTCATGTGGAAGTCTGAACACATTTACAGTCATGCACCTGTGTCTGTGTGCTTGTTTCTGTGACCATGCCTGAGCCTAGCTGAGGACAGGCTGAGTATGACACGTGTGCAGACTTCTGCACCACAGAGTGGATAAAGCCCCACAGGGGATGGGTGGGTGCTGGGCAGTTCAGGTCTGTTTAAATAGGTCTTCCCAAAAAGAAAGGAGTGTTCTGCCTGGCCCTGGCAATGGGATAATGCTGAATATCAGCTCAGCTTCCCAATTTCTTCTTTCCAAAATATGTTCACAAGCATTGCCCAATGGCAAGCTGGCAAGGTGGCAGAAAAGGAGCTGGCTGTCAGCTCTATAATGCATAAGGAAACAGGTCCCAGCAGAAGTAGGGATTTGCCAGATAGCACAGGAAGGTCACCAGTCCCTCAAATTAGTTCTGTCAGTGTTCTAAGTATGCACAGATCTAGAGGTACTGGAGGAGAAATGGAGACTGTGTCTCAGGCCTGGCTTCCCTCAGCCTGCCACTGGCTTGCTGGGATCCTTAGCCTCTGAGCCTGAGTTCTCCCTCAAAGTTAAAGAAAGATCCACAGAATGTGGATTGATTCCTAGGAGGGGGTGGGTTGTCAGGATGGGGTGGTTAGGAGCCCACTGTCTCGCCTGAGTTGTCACAACTGAAGGCTGCCAGCCAGACTGGGAGGAAGCCAGGAAGCCTGGGGGGAGATGGCCCAATGCTAATCAGGAAAGACCACCCTGGGGCTGTCTGAATGGCAGTACTCAGGCAATGGGGTGCTCTGACCTCCTTCCCAGATGGGATAACTGAGCCCCAGTGGGGAGGGGGGCAGGCATCAGGGAGCAAGCAGTAGTCCAAGGGCACTCAGCCCTCATGAGAACCAGGCTACTCCCAGAATGCTCCAAAGAAAAGGAGCCTCATTCATGAGCCAGCTGCTGGAGTGAGCAGCATGCCATCAAGTCTCTGACTTCCTGCCAAGCCCTGGATCCATGTGACCCAGTCCTGGGCTGGGTGAAAGCAGAGAAGGCAGAAGAGGGTTTCACGAGTCCCCTTTCTGCTGCCAACAGCTTTCCTACTATGGATGCTCCAAGGAGATGGATGCCCACCTGCACCCCACTCCTCAACCATCTGCCCTTCCAGCCTAGGAAAGGTGCCTGGCCCTTGCCCTAGGCTGGAGCTGTTGGAGAGGAGCCTGGCAAAGCCTGCTGTACTCTTTCCTGGCTGTGTGACCTTGAAAAGATCCCTTCACCTCTCTGTGCATTTAGATCCTCAGCTGGAAGGGTTTCCATAAGAAGCCAGAGGCAGGATGGAAAGTGTAGAAGGTATTACTTTTAGCCGGGCGCTGGTGGCTCACGCCTGTAATCCTAGCTACTCAGGAGGCTGAGATCTGAGGATCGTGGTTCAAAGCCAGCCCGGGCAGGAGAGACCGTGAGACTCCTATCTCCAATAAACCACCAGAAAACCAGAAGTGGTACTGTAGCTCAAGTGGTAGAGTGCTCGCCTTGAGCTGAAGAGCTGAGGGACAGCGCCCAGGCTCAGAGTTCAAGCCCCACGACCGACAAAAAAAAAAAAAAGAAGAAGGTATTACTTTTGTGTCCGAGAGCCCTTGAGCAGCACGCTGGTCAGACACCAGGTCTGGCCCCATTATACCCAACCAAATTTGGGCAGCTTGACAACTTTCATGGGCCTCCATTTCCTCCACTGCAACAGGGTGCTAATGAGAGCTATGAGGGCATGAAATGAGATCCTGCATGTAAAGCGCTAAGCACTCATCTGGCACAGAATAACTCCCATGGAATCCTAGCCGGCATTCTTGGCATTTGGCAATCTACAAAAGGGGTGTAGTTATTCATCTCTGTGCCAGACCATGGCACAGAGGATAGGGTCTATGTCCGGTGGATTTCTAGCCTCTAGGGGCCCAGCCCCAGGTTTGTCACTAAGTAGGTGTTGGAAAAACTTTGGACTTCATAATAACTGGAAGGGCCTCTTTCATGAGGTTCTTGGGCTGGGCCAGAGGGTGGTCTGGACTGCGGGATGGGGACTTGTTTTTTTATGTAATCCTCAGGATGCTGTTACCACACCAGCTGGCCCCCGGAAATGCTGATAAGGAAGGCAAGGAAGAAAAACTGCTTGACTTTTTTACCCTTAGTTGTCTAACTTCCCCAAGCACTGATCCAGACTCAGGTTCAATCTGAGAGAGATGTGCCCCCCGCCCCCCCCCCCCGCTCCTGGGGGACAGAGGAGTCTCCCTCTAGGGGTAAGCTCCAGGCAGCCTCTGTCTGGCTTGGGGAGGGGGTCAGAGCAGGGGCCACAGAATAGGGCAGCACTTACCTTAGGGTGGGATAAAGCTGTGTGGGAGGGAACTAGGTCCACAGATGACAGGTCTAATGCCTGCGGGAAGTGCTGGTTCTGTCCATCACTCCTCCTGGAGGAGAAAAAAAAGAACCTGAAGTCAGGAAGAGCCCCAGGTTGGAAGATTTGGCAACTCTGGGAGGAAGCATACTCTCACAAGTTGGGGAGATCAGTCAGACACTGGTGGCTCAAGCCTGTAATCCTAGCTACTCAGGAGGCTGAGATCTAAGGATTGCAGTTCCAAGCCAGCCTGGACAGGAAAGTCTGTAAGACTCTTATCTCCAATGAACCACAAAAAGACAGAAATGGAGCTATGGCTCAAGTGGTAGAGCATTAGCCTTGAGCACAAAACTCAGGGACAGGGTCCAAGCCCAGAGTTCAAGCCCCAGAAACACACACCACACACACACACACACACACACACACACACACACCTTGAGCAGAAAAGCTAAAGAACATTGTCCACACACACACACACACACACACACACACACACACACCTTGAGCAGAAAAGCTAAAGAACATTGTCCAAGCCCAGAGTTCAAGCCCCAGAAACACACACACACACACACACACACACACACACACCTTGAGCAGAAAAGCTAAAGAACATTGTCCAAGCCCAGAGTTCAAGCCCCAGAAACACACACACACACACACACACCTTGAGCAGAAAAGCTAAAGAACATTGTCCAAGCCCAGAGTTCAAGCCCCAGAAACACACACACACACAGCTTGAGCAGAAAAGCTAAAGAACATTGCCTAAAACCTGAGTTCAAACCCCAATACTGTCAAAAAAAAAAGGGAGCTGATGGAAAGAAGATGGGTATCATGAAAGACACACCCTGGTTCCCCAAGAGGTAGGAGAGGAGGGGCTTCCTGAACATGGCTGCCAAGTGGATTCTCCTTCCTAATGATCAGAAGTGGACAGGGTCTCTCTGGAGCTCTCCACTAGGCCTCTAGCCTTGAGGGTATCCATGGACCATTCTGAAAACGGCAGACTGAGGCAGGGAGACAAAGATTGCTGCAGGGGTCTGAGCTATCTGAATCACCAGGGGTTCTCAGCTGTACAGCCCACCCTCACTTCAGGAA